GATATTCTAATTTTTCGAGTTTCACCTGTACACCGGGCTATTTGCATAGCATGCTCATGGTTGCTAGTGCCACCACGTTGCTTTCGATGTGTATTCCCCATTGTATGCCTTCTTACTCTCTTGCAATCCCTTCCTCTCCAATGAATATAAATACAAACATTAATTCCCTTAATTATCCAGTCCCAATTGTGGTTGCTAAATGAGGACTACCTGTATGAAATTGAAAAGAATAAAACAATGCTTCATGAAATTGCTGTCTGAATGTTGGATCAATCCACATTTAAAGTAATGATTCAAAATTAGAAATACTTTTTTTTTTCCCGAATCTTATAGACCTTGCTACCGTAGTTGGCTACCTGGTTGTTAGCCGTCCGTTTCTAAACTTGTCTCATCCACGTCATCAGAATAGTACCCATGCAGAACTTTTGGAGGTGAGTAATATATTTGCTGTAGTAGTTAAAATAAATGACACACATGTTGCTTGTTCATTTTTGAGCAAACCTATATTTCATTGTTTTAAGGATTACTACCAAAGTGGAAGAATGTTACTGAGAATGTCTCAAGCCCTTGGCAGAATAGTTCTAGCTGGTCGTGAAATGACTCGATTGGCTGGGTAAGATGGACCAATAATGTATAATCCTATCGGCATTCATAAAATAAATTTATTTTATCCTCGTAACCCAAAATCTGTATTAATTTTCAGTTTTGAGATAACTGAGATAAATTTCAGTTTTGAAATATAAAACATGAAGCATTTTAACAAAGCTTGGCACATCATTTACAGAAAATAATACTTTCTAAATAATTATAATGTGCACTTGTGAATTGATTGTTTTGCCTTCCATTTTAAAATGTCAGTTTATTTTTGATGAAAATTCAGTTTTGAAGAAAAATTCTTGAACTCCGTTAGTTTAATAAATTTATAACCTTTAGCTTCACAGCTCGAATCACAGAATTAATGCAAGTTCTGAAGGAACTAAACAGTGGGAAATATCAACGAACCATGCTAGCACAAGAAAAAGGTAACTGTGATGCCCTGATGTTGATTAAGGAATTAATACAAAAACTCATAATACTTTTGCTATTGTTTACTTGTCATTTCTTTTTAATTTAAGAATTAGATCTAAAGCAAGCTACCCCATTGATTCCTGGTACAGGACGGATTGTCATAACAGATAACATTATCAAGTAGGTAAAATCTCTCATTCTTATTAGGACATCTTATTAGCTTTCTTCATTTCTGCATATCCACCCATGCTATCTAAATTTTGTTTTTAATTTTAGCATTTTTTGTAGATTTCTGTACATGCCTCTTGCCCACAAGAATAAACTGTACAAAAAATGACTGTGAGGCCATGTCTACAGTTGCTTCCTGCCCTTCTTTTTCTCTTCCCCCCCACCCCCATTGTGGACTTCTGAATGCAGGAAACCTGATCCTGTGGGCATCTGTATGGATATGCTTCCTCAGATCTTGGAACTTGTGCAATCTGCATGACTTAGCTCATGGGATTTAATGAGTTCAGTTAAAAAGCAAACTGTTACCTTTGAAATGTTTAAATAATGAGTATCACAAGGTACAACTTGTTCAGTTGGCAGAGTTGACTAATGATCTGACTTGTTTTAAGACGGCAGTTTTACATTGATCAACGTCTTACTCCAATTGTGAACAGATATTGCCATCTCTTGGATCTGAGGAACCTTTCAGGGGGAGACTTGTAGTTAGTAAAAATATAAAACAGGCTTTACAAAACAAGGGTCAAAACATTATTGAACTGTTACTGTTCATACAAACTTTCAAAAGGAAATGCTCAACATCAACATATTTCCAACTTTAGTTCTCTTTTATGTACAGATAGTCCTTGAGTTACGATGGCAGTTGGGACTGGAATTTCGGTCACTAAGCGATGTGGTCATAAAGCTCAATGTCACATGACTGCATCACTTAGCGACAGCAATCCTGGCACTCCCTGTTGCTGTCGTTAACTGAATTCCACCATTCGTTAGCTGAGGATACCCTGATCCAAGCCATTCCCAGCTTGGTCCCTCTCAGCCCCAAGCCTTGGTACTTCCAAGGTAGGGGACTGCCTCCCCTTCAACTCCCCCCAACTGCCTATTTCCCCCACACACACACCTCTGCCCTTTTGGCCACCTTGCACCCTGCCTTGCTGGGCAGCAAGGAGCCCCATAATTGCTTGGCTCTGGGGCTGCTTGCCATTCTGCAGCTCAGGGGCTTCTTGGCATGCCATAGCTCTGGGGCTCCAAGAAGACCCTGAGCTGCAGCACAAAGCCGCAGCCACCCCAGGAAGCTGCAGCTGTCCCAGCCAGGCCCAGCAGTGTGGTGTAAAGCCCCAGCCAGCCCAGGCCAGTGCAGCCCCAGCTGCCCTCGCCAGCCTGCATTCCACTGCCTCTGCTAACTTTCACCATCTTTTTGCTCCTGCTGCCTACAAGGTGTGCCCGACCTGGCCCTTTGTGAGGCAGCTGCTAGCCGCATGAGGCCTTCTTCCCCAGGTCTCATGAGGAAATTGCTGTGCGTAATCTCAGGAAGAAAGCCTCATGCAGCCAGCAGCTGCCTCACAAAGGGCCAGGCCAGGTGTGCTTGGTCAGCAGGGGGAGCAAGAAGACGGCGAAGATCAGCTAGGGGCAGTGTAGCACAGGACAGCAGAGGCCACAGAGTGCAAGGGGCCAAAAAGAGCACAGATGGGGGGAGATAAGTGGGTGGAGGGAGTTGATGCACCCCTATGGTCATAAGTGCAGGCAGGCTGCCATGCCCGAATTTTGATCACATGACCACGGGGTGCTGCAATGGCTATAACTTCAGAGACCGGGTGTAAGTACCATTTGTTCAGCCCCACTGTAACTTTGAACGGTCACTGAACAAATGGTCATAACTCAAGGACTACCTGAATCATTTTTGGAAAGAAATAGCACCTACACATATAATAAACAGAGGCAGAGACTATGCTTTTGAAACATGACAGTATCTATATTTTCAGTTTTGTAGATTTTCATATATTTTCCCATCTCTATTTCAAAAACACATTTTGTTTTTTGCACTTGTTAATTGTGCTTATTTTGTGATATGGCTATGTTGCAAGCACCTTGAAAACATTACTCTCTAGTAGTAGTTTACTACTAAATTTAGTAGACAGTTTACTAATTGTCCTCTTTTGTAATGGTAATATCTCTGTATATAAATGGTGGTATGTCTGTTTTCCTTGAAGGTTTGATCATGTTCCGTTGGCAACACCAAATGGCGATATGTTGATTAAAGATCTCAATTTTGAGGTACATTGCAACATTCACAATTTTATCTTGAAATAATTGCCCGGATGAGAATAAAAATCTATTTTGTTCCTCTTCCCATCCCAAAGCAGTGTCTTTGGAAGATTATTCCAGAACAGAGTGATCTATGAGGGTGATGGAGATTGCCTTGAAAGTGAACAATTACCCAAAATTACTAGAGGTATTTTGGCCAGTGAAGTCCACCCAATTTTGAGTAATATCTCCTTCTCAGTATAGGACCCTTCCACAGACAATCAAGAAGGTCTTCTAAATCTTGGGAGAAGTGCCAAGAGGAAGGAAAAGGAAAGATTTCTATATGAGAAACTTTGGAGTGGAACTATCTCAAGTAGTTTGTAAGCAGTTTCCCCAACTTCTGTATGTACAGTGCTAAATGTCTCAGAAACTTCCTTCCCTTCCTGGTAATAATCATGCTGTACAGATGGAAATCAGGAGGAAGGCTACTTGATGAACAGAGAGCTATTCTCCATGGACCTAGTCACTGCTCATACATTAGTATAGGTATTTTAAACAATACATGAATCAGACTGTTGTTTCCAGTAAGTAGTTATAATACACACCCGAATATCCATACCAAACATTTTTTAAATAGTAGCTCCAACACTGTCTTATTAGGGCTTTAGTTCAACTTGTTCTGTCCCATCCAGACCCTTAAAGCTTCCAGACAAAGGAAAAGTAACTTTACAGCATCTCCAGTTCGGTCTTGGGCAGCATAAAACTGGATATCATCAGCACCCCAAATCACTGAATGACTTCTCCCAGTGGCTTCATGTAAATGTTGAAGACTAGGGGAGAGAAGACCAATCTTTGTGGCATTCCACAAGTGAGTGGCCACAAGGATGGCCTTTAAGGTAGAACAGATCAGAAAACACGCTCTGCAGGAAGACCAGAACTATGCTTTATTGAGGCAGGCTATAATAACAGAATCTTGCATTTCCGTTTCAGATGTCTAGTTCAGAGTTTTTAAAACTTGTAAATTTAACTCAACATTTTAGTAGTAAAAAAGCAGGAATACCCAATTCTGAACTGAAATTTGCATGTAAAATTTTAACTTCCTTTAACAAAATCTGTTTATTTTAAAAACACTTCTGTTTGAATATTTTTGAGTGCTCACGTTTAAAAGAATATCTAGAAAATATTTGCCAAACTGAATATGATTCCCAAGTTAAGGAAGCTAACCTCATGCATTATGAATGAAAGTCGTACATCTTCTAATGTTTTCAAGAACTTTAAATATATTTTGTCTTGATTTACATTTCAGGTGCGATCTGGTGCAAATGTTCTGATTTGCGGGCCAAATGGATGTGGAAAGAGTTCTCTCTTCCGTGTCCTTGGTGAAGTATGTAAAGGTCAAACTAAGGTTGATTTTAAAGACAAAAAATGATGTTACATTTCTATTGTAATAAATTGTGTGTTTTTATTGCAGCTGTGGCCTCTGTTTGGTGGCTGTCTAACTAAACCTGAGAGAGGAAAGTTGTTTTATGTTCCCCAGGTAAACAAACCACTAGGACAATTGACATTTTTTCTCTCAGAAGAATGTCCACATTTTCTAATCCCTTATAATTTGAATTTCAGAGACCGTATATGACACTTGGAACATTGAGAGACCAAGTAATCTATCCAGACACTATAGAAGATCAAAAAAGGAAAGGAATTTCTGACCAGGTGAACTGCATTTTTCTTCCTACGTTATATTTTTCACATTATATTTATAATTATATTTATTGTAGATATATAGTAAAAATGAAAAGACAGAAATCACTGTAATTTAAAAAGCATGTAATAATTTGAAATGCCATTGATGTCACACTATTTAAACAAGCTTTGTTTATATATTTATATTTAAAAAATGCCCCTTTCACCCCTATGGATGGTATGTGTCTTCCTCAATCTAGGGTCCTCTACCAGAGGCCTGGGAGTTTGAGGGTTCTGCCGCAGTATCTTAGCTGTTCCTA